TTCTGTATATCCTTGAGGTAGTATGTTTCTGTATTCTGTTTATACTCAACAGTTGCTCTAATGGATACATTTCATCCTCATTCCTTAGTGGTTGTGGGAGCTTTGCAACAAAATGTCTTATTTGGCAATACAGCCACTCATTCAGTTTAGAAAATAGTTCCTTCTTATTCTTCAACTCGTTTTTATCCATTATCCATTTCCCTGAAAAATTGTCATTCCCGGGGTGGGGGAACCTAGTTCCCACCAACGGAATTGACAGTAATTTAAATTTCCAATCCTTCTCCTTATGTATTTTATCCCAAATCCTATATACATTCTGTGTTAAATTGCATGTGTCCTCGTCCCAAATACAAAATTCCTGTGGTATCCAAATGAACTTTTCTAATGGTGCATTACTAAGTGCACTTTCCATTCTTACCCAGCTTCTCCCGTTTATATTGTGTAGCCAGTCTACAATTTGTGATAATAGCACCGATTTATAATATCTCCTAGAATCTGGCATATTATTTATTATTATTATTATTATTATTATTACTATATATAGCGCCAAAGGGTTTGCTCAGCGCTGTACAATAGGGGGGACAATACATGGCACAGTACAACAACAACAAACAATGTACGAGGGGTAAGAGGGCCCTACTCTTACGAGCTTACAATCTAGGAGGGAGGGGGTAAAAGGGTACAGTAGGAAGTGGCTGAGGGGGATGAAGTGGTGGGAGGAATGAGGGAGGATGGCCGTTAGGTTATTATTATACAGTATTTATAAAGCCCAATAGTTCGCTCAGCGCTGTACATTACAAAGGGGGACAGAACATGTGACAGAACAATACCAATACAAAGCAAAACATGAGGGGATTGAGGGCCCTGCTCTTTCAAGCTTACAATCTAGGAGGGAGGGGATGGTGGCACATGAGGAGATAGCTGTGGGGGATGGAGTGGTAGGAAGAGTGGAGGAGGTCGGCAAGTTAGCAGGGGGTGGGGTAGGCTTCCCTAAAGAGATGGGTTTTCAGGGTACGCCTAAAGGAGAGGAGAGTAGGTGATAATCTGATGGGTTGGGGCAGGGAGTTCCAGAGGATGGGTGACACCCTGGAGAAGTCCTGGAGGCGGGCATGGGAGGAGGAGACCAGGGAACTAGAGAGAAGGAGGTCTTGTGAGGAGCGGAGTGTGCATGCTGGGTGGTACTTGATATTAGGTCAGTGATGTAGTTCGGAGCAGTGTGGTGGACGGCTTTGTACGTCACTGTTAGGATTTTGAATTTGATCCGTTGCGCAATCGGAAGCCAGTGGAGGGATTGGCAGAGGGGGGTGGCAGAGATGGAGCGGTTGGAAAGGTGAATGAGTCTGGCTGCCGTATTCAGGATCGACTGAAGCGGGGATAGCCAGCGGCGAGGTAGGCCAGTAAGAAGGGAGTTGCAGTAATCGAGTCGTGATATGATGAGGGAGTGGATGAGCTGTTTAGTGGTTTCTGGGGTTAGGAACGTGCGGCTTTTGGCGATGTTGCGGAGGTGGAGTCTGCACAAGTTTGTTAAAGATTGGACTTGGGGCTGGAAGGATAGGTTGGAGTCCAGAATGACACCAAGTACTCTGGCCTGTGGGGCGGGTTTGATGGTGGCGTTGTTGGACATGATGGAGAAGTCAATGGGGGGTGGTGTCCGGGCTGGGGGGAAGACAAGAAACTCGGTTTTGGAGAGGTTCAGTTTAAGGAAGTGGAGCGACATCCAGTCTGATATGTCGCTCAGTAGGTGTTTGATTCGGGCAGAGATTGAGGGGGTGAGGTGGGGGGTTGAGAGATAGATTTGTGTGTCGCCGGCATATAGGTGGTAGTTGAAGCCGTGAGAGTGTATGAGTTGGCCAAGGGAGGAGGTGTAGATGGAGAAGAGAAGGGGCCCGAGGACGGAGCCTTGAGGGACCCCAACAGAGATGGGGAGTGAGGGGGAGGTGGTAGCATTATAGGTTACGCTGAAAGAGCGTTGTGACAGGTAGGATGAGAGCCAGGAGAGAGCAGAATCTCTGAGGCCAAGGGAGTGTAGTTTTTTGAGGAGGAGGGGGTGGTCAACTGTGTCGAAGGCCGCAGAGAGGTCAAGGAGTAGGAGCACTGAATAGTGGCCATTAGCTTTGGCGGTTAGCAGGTCGTTGGAGAGTTTGAGTAAGGCAGTTTCGGTGGAGTGTAGGGAACGGAAGCCGGACTGTAGGGGGTCGAGGAGGTTGTTGTCGTTGAGGTGAGAGCATAGGTGGGTGTGTAGACTAGGCACTCGAGGAGTTTGGATGTAAATGGGAGCAGGGAGAAGGGTCTGAGGTTGTTTGGATCATTGGGGTCCAGGGAGGGCTTTTTAAGTATGGGGGTGATGTGTGCATGTTTCAGAGGGGAGGGGAAAGAGCTGGAGGAGAGATTAAAGATGTGGGTGAGGGAGCGTAGGATGGAGGGGGAGGGAGGTTGTAGGAGTTGTGAGGGGATAGGGTCGAGGGGGCAGGTGGTGAGGCGGGCATCAGAGAGGATCTTGGAGACTTCCTCGATGTTAGTAAGATTTAATCCCCCTTTTTTTTTATTGCTGCACAGAAACCTGAAGAAAGGTGTATTGGAAGCATATTAAATTTATATAACACTTTTGGTACTATAATTATCTTAATTATATTTATCCGACCTATTCAAGACAGCTTCTCCGTAGAAGCTTTCCTCAGTTCATCTTTTAACTCATTTATTAGTGGGATATAGTTTGCCTGATGCAGATTTTTTATATGCAATGTTAATATTATTCCCAAATACTTTAATTCTTTTTCTTTCCATTTAAAGGGGAACTCTTTTTGTAGAATTTGTTTCTCAGCCTTTGAAACGTTTATGTTTAATATCTCACTTTTCAAGGGATTAATTTTCAAGATAGCTCCCCATATTCTTTTAATTTTCTCATTAGGTTCGGTAATGTTAATCTGGGGTTTTTAATATAAAACAGCAAATCATCTGCATACGCTGCTACTTTATATTCATTGTTCCCTATCCACATCTCCCTGACATCTACACTATTTCTAACAGTTGCTAATAGTGGTTCCATGGAGATAACAAACAGCAACGGGGACAGGGGACATCCCTGTCTTGTTCCATTATACATCCTAAAAAATGTTTAGTATTGTGTCCTCGGTGCCCCCAGCCTCTGCTGTAGCATGCAGGTAAACAAATTATTCAGCTTTGGGGATTTACCGCCTCCCGTGGCCACTCACCCATTCCTGTATATTATTCACACTGACTGTTCGTCTGTTGCTGGATCATCTTTTGTGTGAAGGGGCTCCCAGGGCCGTCAGTCTCCTCCTCAGGTCCTGTGACCGGCTCCTTAACGATCTCCCCCCATGCCACTCTGCCGCCGTCACCGCTCAATGCTCTGCTTTCCCGGTAGAGGATCTACTGCACTGCTCAGGGGCCAAGCCAATGGCCTGTTTAGGAATGGGACAGAGCGGGTCCATGCTGCTCTCTCTGGTGTTCAGTTCCAGACTCTCATATTCTCCTCCCTGTCACCTGACCAATCGCATGATTCCTCTGCCACTGAGGAGCGCCATGCTCATACCCCCCCTTTCGGAGTGACTTTTTTAGTATCAATCAGCTGATACACATGCAGTGTTATAATGAAGAAAGTTGCATTGTCAGCAACCCTTTAGAAATGAGTAACCCTTTAGGAGTATCTCACCAAAAATGACATTCTTGTTGCACAGGATGCCTAAAATCTGACTTGTATCTTAGTGCAAAGTTGTGGGAAAATCAGTAAGCCAATTGCTCAAGCAGCATATTACATTTCTGGTGGGTGTGCTGTACGCCAACAGTGAAAAGAATGCTGCTAAGTTACCATAATGCATTGAATTTTACAGAAAATGACAGCGCTGCAGATTGAAAAGGGAAGGTCATTTTTTAATAACATTCAATTACAATATGGTTTGTGGAGCAATTGCATACACTATATATATATATAATATTTTTATTTCTTTGCTATATTTTTTCCCACAATATTAGAGTTAGCCTTTAATTTCATGCATATGGTAACTGATCCTGCATGGGTCTCTATTTCTATATAACTAAGTATTGTAGCAGCACAGTGGCTAAATGGTTAGCACTTCTGCCTGGCAGTACTAGGGACGTTGCTTCGAATCCCATGCACAGCACCACCTGTCTGGAGTTTGCTTGTTCTCCCTGTGCCTGCATGGGTTTCCTCTGGGTACTCTGGTTTCCTCCCATACTCCTGCTCAGTGCAGGTATACAAACGTATACTTACCTGCTCAGTGCAGTGGTTTTGCATAGAGCAGTCCAGATCCTCCTCTTCTGGGGTCCCCTGCTGGCGCTCCTGGCCCCTCCCTCCTTGCTTGCTATGGGGGCACACGCTGCTCTGTGTGTTGACTCACACACAAGGCTGCGGCTCAGCCCTGCCCCATTTCTCTTCTCATTGGCTCATTGGCTGTGATTGGCAGCAATGGGAGCTGATGGCTCCTGCTTCTGTCTCAGCCAATGAGAAGAGGATGGCCGAGACTCCAGTGCACATCGCTGGATCGAGAAGGGGGCTTAGGTGAGTATTGGGGGGGTTTGGGGGGATGCTGCACAGAGAAGGTTTTTTTTTTACATAGAATGCATGAAGGAAAAAACCTTGAGCCTTTAGAACCACTTTATGAACTGATGTGAATGTACAATATATGTATGTAAAGTGCTGCGTAAATTGATGGCACTATTTAAGTACCTGTAATAAATAAAAGAAATGTCAGTCAATGTGCACTCTTCATTTTAGGAACATGTGACAAAAAAAAACTAACATTTTTTTGACAGAACACATATGATTAAGACATTCAAACATGGAGTCATTGTGTCACATTATGCAACTTATTCTATTGAAACAATTGCAACTACCATTGAGTATTGGATGCTAAGGGGGAGGATTTACTAAAAGCAAATAGACTGTGTATTTTGCAAGTGCAGTTGCGCTAATTTTCCCCAGAGTTTAGTGAAGGTGGTGAAGCTCTCTTGATTTCCATCCTCCAAAGTACATAGCAAAGCAGTGTGCTTTCATTGACACACACACAGCCCACATAGCAAAACAGCACACTGTTAACCTTTTGATCGCCCCACATGTTACCCCCTTCCTGCGCAGTGCCATTAATACAGTGTCAGTGCTTTTTATTAGCACTGATCACTCTATTGGTGTCACTGGGGATGTCAGTGACACCAAGTCAGTTCCCCCCAGTGTAAGAATGTCCGCCGCAGTCCTGCTATAAGTCGCTGATCACCGCCATTACTAGGAAAAATTTTTTTTTATAAATTCCAGCATATATACCGCCATTTGTAAATGCTATAACTTTCACATAAGCCAATTAATTTACACATATTGGGATTTTTTTTTAGCAAAGACATGTAGCAGAATATATTTTGGCCTAAGTTTATGACAAAATTAGATTTTTTTTTAACTTTTTTACTGGACATGTTTAAAAGCAAAAAGTCAAAAATATAGTTTTTTTTTTCAAAATTGTCTTTTTTTGTTTATAGAGCAAAAAATTAAAAAACACACAGGCGATCGAATACCACCATAAAAAAAGCTCTATTTGTGGGAAAAAAAATGACATACATTTTATTTATGTAAAGCATTGCATGACCATGCAATTGTCAGTTAAAGTAACGCAGCACTGTGCTGCAAAAAATGGCCAGGTCAGGAAGAGGGGTAAATCTTCTGTCTTTTTTACTGGACATGTTTAAAAAGCAAAAAGTCAAAAATATATATTTTTTTTCAAAATTGTCTTTTTTTGTTTACAGCGCAAAAAATAAAAACGCACAGGCGATGGAATTCCACCAAAAGAAAGCTCTATTCATGGGGAAAAAAGGAAGAAAATTTAATTTGGGCGCAGCGTTGCATGACTGCGCAGTTGTCAGTTTAAATAATGCAGCGCCGTATCACACAAAATGGCCTGGTCAGGAAGGGGAGGGGGGTAAATCTTCTGTCTTTTTTCTGGACATGTTTAAAAAGCAAAAAGTCAAAAAATATATATATTTATTTCAAAATTGTCCTTTTTTTGTTTACAGCGCAAAAAATAAAAAACGCACAGGCGAACGAATACCAGCAAAAGAAAGCTCTATTCGTGGAGAAAAAAGAAAGTAAATTTCATTTGGTTGCAGCGCTGCATGACCACGCAGTTGTCAGTTAAAGTAACGCAGCGCCATATCACAAACAATGGCCTGGTCAGGAAGGGGGGTAAATCCTCTGGAGGGGAAGTGGTTAAATGCTATGCTCACCCAACATTTACTGCACATGGAAGTGATAAAGGATTCTCCAGTGGGACTGACAGTTTCTAATGAAATGATCAATTGACCTGTTTTAGCGACATGGTTGCAGCCATAAGAGATCTATGAGCCTACATTATATATCAGAGCACACAGGACAGGTCATGATCAGGGGCGGACTGACAACTCATGGGGCCCCAGGGCAATTGGAGATCATGGGGCCCCTGTGTCCTTGCCCAAACTCAAGAAAGCCTATGAAAAGGGTACCAGGGGCATCTCATGGGGCCCCCTACTGACCCCGGGCCCTCGCGCAGTGCCCGAGTTTCCAAATGGTCAGTCCGCCCCTGCTCATGATAACCCTAGATGAAGATGTCTGCATCACCTTTATTCAGACACAAGCGTAAGACCAGATCCAGAGTATCTCCATTCACAATGTTTGACAGATCATAACATCATCACATTCTATCTTTTATCTGACGTATGTTTTCTTGTTATCATGGTGCCTTTTTCGTCATCTGCCTCCCACCATTTCAGTACGTATAACGGCACTTTCTTTCCTCTTTACAAATTACCCATAGTCTGTTTTCTTTCTCTCCCTCCCTCCCTGTAACATCTGATGCTCTCCTGTCCTTCCTGTTGAAGGATACAATAGGGTTTTGTCATGGTAACTAGAGCGTTCCCAGTTAGCAGCCCCAGCTTCACTCCCTCCCTCCTTCGCCCTGCCTCTCCCTCCCCCTCTCTCAGGCCTTATCTCCCTGCAGTTTGCCAAGGCTGGCTAGGATCTGTAGGGTGATCCAGGGATGGGCAGCGGGTGCTGTATCCCTTGGCTCCTGCGCATGGCTCTGGATTCCCTGGCTTGGCTCTTGTAGAGGCTGCTCCATCATCACCAGGATGAACGTTGCGCTTCAGAATCTCAGCAACAGCGTGAGTGCCACTTGGGGGGTCTATGTTCACTATTGGACGCAAGCTCTGTCTCATCATACATGTACACGCTGGGTGCAAGCTGATTTCTGGCCTGTACGTACCGTGTACAGATGTGCGGCTGTGTTTTTACATATCGGCTGCACAACTGATTCACTGATGTGCTTGCATTCACATTTTGCATACACAAACATATACCAAAAATGGCATACATCCCAACACACCATGTGATGCTGCATAGTATAGGCCACAACTACACATCATTTTATCTGTTATGTGTCATCTGTAGTCTTGGGGTTTGTATGATGCTTAAAGTCCTGATCACATCTTTCAGTATTTATCCCGTAGAGTTGTATTGCTTTCATACAGAGCAGTTGTCATTCCTACAATAGTTTTTAAAGTTTTTGAACCCCCCAGACTTTGCTTTTGCTGTCTTATCTCTGTTCTCTTCTTTTTTTTTTTTCTTTTTTTTTTTTCCATCCCCTACATCTCTTCTAACATTCTGCTATACCTTTGTGATCAGTACTGCTTGGACCTGAAGAAGGGGACACTCCCCGAAAGCTTGTCCTCAAAATTGTTTGTTAGTGCAAACAAAAAAAGTATCACGGACAGTACTCTAAAGTTTTTGACAATTTAACCGTTCCATTTCCACGCACATTGCTGTTTCTGACAAAGGAACACTTCTTATGTGCAAACGTAATACCATTAAAGGGTAGAAATAAATTCAAATCTCAGTTTATCAAACTAGTTCTGGAAAACTTTGGTAAACCATTATGCACGGCACCTAATGACTTTGTGATCTGTGAGATGACAGCAGTCAGTGACAGATTGACGCTGATTGGTTTCTACATTATTCTACACATTGCTTCTTGTCTTTTCCATGGACTTAGAGGTTGATTTACTAAAATTGGAGAGTGCAAAATCTGTGCAGCTCTTCACAGAAACCAATCAGCATCCAGGTTTTATTATCAGAGCTTAATTGAACAAACTGTAGTTAGAAGCTGATTGGCTACCGTGTACAGATACCCCAGATTTTGCACTCTCCAGTTTTAGGAAATCAACCCCTTTGTGTTTTGCTACAGATTTGTACTTACGACACATCTCTTTCTTAATAACTTATTAAATGGATAAAATTACAGCATCTAAGCCAAGAATCCATTATCTTAGTTCAACTATTTCTCAGAGTGTGGCCTCCTTCTGTTTAATCCTCAATGAGTTTAATATGAGTTAGTGCTGTTCAAAAGTGCCCCCAGTGTGATTTGTCAGCTCCAGCTAGTAACAAGGTTAACGATGATCAGAATCACAGGGGTTCATCAATAACTGCAAAGGATGACAGCGAGGCTGGTCAATAACACCTTAATGATGGTCTGCATGACCTGTGTGGTGTGTAATGTATTGAACAGTGTACCTGTCAGTTTAGGTTGCTGTTTCATTATGAAAGTTTTAAGTTTCCTACAGGCATTAACGACCTCAGGAAGCTGGTTCGTGCACTATCTGGCTGAGAAACAATCTTTTTAATGAAAGAACATTGTACAGACATACAAGTTTGCACTGGGCACACCACACGTGCAGGTTTGAGCCTATGGAGAGGTAAGGGGTGCACCCTACAGCTATCTCCGGTTTTTCCTTTTTCGAGTACAGAAAAAAAAAAAATCAAACCTTGCTGATCAACAACCTCCCCCCAAGAAGGCTCAGGCAGGCTATCTGTGCCGCAGTCAGTGAAGGCCTAAAGACATACAGATGTCCCTCAAACTGGCTAGATCAAATGTTTTCTATAGGTAGCATTACCTCTCTGTAGATTCTAACTGATGCAAATGAAAAATTAAAATGTCAGTATGAACATAAAGCTGCAGGCTTTATTATTAGAAAATGAAGAAAATTTTCTGTTTGTGGTGTTTTAAATGTTCCATCCATACTGGCACAGTGAAGCATCACTATATTTCTCTAGCACACAGCTGAGCGATACCTAATACATAGATGGATACAGAAAAAACTAGAATGGATATTGTCACAAATGTGGATAATGTTTAGACACCATGAATAATCTCAGATTATCCTAGCAGGGTTCCTGAATTTCAAGTACAGTTGCAGCGAGGCTAAGTGCAGAGAGGCTGCGGGTTATGCAGTCTTTAGTTACAAAGCCTGAGAGATAAACAGGAATAAATAAATTCGTCTCCTCCCAGCTCATGGTTTAAGCTGCACATAAATTCGGAACTAAATGCGTTTCAATGCATAAAGTTGTTCTGCATATCTTAGGTGCTGTATGTCCATTGATTAGAAATACCTGTTCATTTATAGTCCGATATATATAGTGTAAGAAAATTACTTTATATCCTCATTCTTCATTTATTCTAAACAATTTACTTCATTACTGACTTAAACAGGATGCAAAGTATAATTATTAAAAGTATCATGCAAAGTATTAATGAAGTAGTTTCCTGTGTATGACATAGTAAATTACAATAATTTCAAATAGGATATTAAAGTTTTCTGCATGTTTTTTTTTGATGTTCACATCACTGGAATATTAACCTTCAACAACCGCTTTATTGTGTTACATACATAGCGATTTTTTTATTAAGTACCTTGTCATCAATGCAATAGTTATGGTCATTTACAGAGAATTGAACTTTGTAGAGCAAGATTGCCATTGCTGCATCCAATGTAGTTATATATATATTCATGAGAACTAATAATGAATATGTAGGCGCTGTGCAAAAAAGGAACAAGAGTTCACCCAAGTGAACCCAATATAATTGCTGGATATTGGTTATCTGTGTGTGGACAACCCATTGGTGAACTTCTGTATTCATCAAACAATATAATCAATAACCATATATTAATCCTATTTCCATAAAAATATTAATTAAACACCAATTTATTCTTCATTATTTTGTATTTTATATCTAGTATTTGGCACCACAATAATGTATTATTTTTTGAATGTTCACATCTATATATTCATCTCTTTGCAGTCTTTCATTGCCTTATGTATCTTATAGAGGCACCTTACAGCCTGTGACTGTGACTGCTATAGGGTGCTGGGACATGGTACCCAAAGCGCTCACCCAGAAAATCGCAGAGAGATAGATACCACCGAATGTATATATTGTATGTACACATACATAGGGTGTTGAAGCATCAGAAAGATTGGTGTCCAATTCTCCTAAGGTATATATGTGCAGTGGCCAGGGGCGGACTGACAACTCATGGGGCCCCTGGGCAATAGGGGATGATAGGGCCCCTGTGTCCTTGCCCAAACTCAAAAAAGCCTATGAAAAAGGTACCAGGGGCATCTCATGGGGCCCCCTACTGACATGGGGCCCTTAGGCAGCGTCCAAGTTTCCAAATGGTCAGTCTGCCCCTGGCAGTGGCACTCCTTAATACATACAAATAGATTTTTTTTCAATCTTCATTAATGTGTTACTAAACCCAGGACCCTGCATTCACTCTATCTGGTCTCCCACAGTACACAGAACATGGAAGTGCAATTATTTTAGTAAATATAAACTGCTTAATACCTTTTTCTCATCAGCAGTTACCCTAGGTTCACACCTAAGCGTTTTCTGCATCATTTTGCAGAAACCCAGTACAGTCTATTTATTATGATTTCCTATGGGACATGTTCACATCTCTGCGTTTTCACCTGGTGCATTTTTTGGAAGGGGTCAGGGACTTTTTTGAACACAAAAAATTGTGTTTTTGGTTCTATAGACTTCAATGGAAACACTGCAAAAAAGCATGTAGTGCGATTTTGCTGCATTTCGCGTTTTAAATCTAATCTAGCAACAAGAATAAAAAAAAATGAAAAAAGAACCCACATCATAAATTCAGCAAAATCGCAGCTGCAAAACACAATGCAGAAACGTCTCAAACACAACCTGCATAGGTGTGAACCTAGTCTTAGAGCAGTCTTGTGACTTCTATCAGTGTTCAGTAGAGCACTGGTTAAAGCTTGTAGGAGTTTTATTTCTGCCCTAGGAGGATGCAAAACCCCTGACCTCTGTCTGGACAGTGCTGATTGGCCCTGTGCTGAGTGCTGTGCACTCTCCCAAGATAAAAAAAAACCTCTCTAGAAATACACACTAAATTGAGCATGTGCAGAATGGCTACGGGTTCAGTCTATCTTATCAGGAGATGGACATGGACATTTGAACAAGAGAAGGGGCAGAGAAGACAGGCTAAAACGGTCTTTTTACATAATGCAGAGGATTAACCCCTTAGGTTCCACAGTGAGTATAACAAGCATACTTTACTACATATACAGATTGATTTTACTGTTGTGGGTTTTAGTAACACTTTAAAGTTGGCCTGATCACTGCTGCCTTGTTGAAGGGAGACTCCTGTGAAACCTTAAAACCTTGTGTTTGCCTGTTACTCTGATACATATTTAATAAAAGCCATTCATCTTGATGGAGCAGTGCTATTGACACATTACTACTAACTATGGGGTCTATGTATACATTTTTTTCACATAGGAGTCACACAGTTTTCGCCCAGGATTCACACATTTTTCTTTTTTTTTTTAGCTGGAATAATGTGTGAATTGTGGATGAAAGTTCTGTAAATCATACAGTATGTGAAGACATTTTTAAATAGACCCCTATGTGTCTGTGCAGCCATCTTTTTACATCATGCCAAATGACATCACAGCTTATAAAGTGGGGAAATTTGTCTCTTCAAAGTAGCAGGAGGGAAGGTAACATTAGAAGGTATTAATTTACTGAAAGAGTCATGGATTCTGGGGAAAGACTTCCAATAGTGGGTCAATCAACAGTAATTGAATTAAAAGCTGAAATGTAACCATCAAAAAATCTATGGCTTGGTTCATTTAAAGCAGGGTTCTATGAACATGACTAAGGTTTGAGTGCTGAATCCAATCCTTCCTGAAGTCAATGGAAGACGAATGTTAAAAATCATTAAAGGTCATTTTCTAGGACAAAATGCTGGGGATTGTCAAACAAATGGTGTTGGGGGCTGGCCACTGCCTCAGTAACAAAGTGAACAAAAAATATTCTGTTTGGTGGGGTTATCAGCAATTGTAAAGTGTTACTAAACTTACAACAGTAAAATCAGTCTGCATATACAGTAAAGCATGCTTGTTATACACACTGTGGAACCTAAGGGGTTAATCCTCTGCATTGAGCAGAAAGGATGTTTGACCCTGTCTTTTCTGATCCTCCCCTTCTTCTACTGTCTCCAATCCATCTGCTGATAGAACAGAGCTTTAGGGACAAGCGCAACATGCTCAGTTTGGTGTGTATCACTAGAGAGTTTTCTTTTTTCTTAGGAGAATGCATGTGATCAGCACAGGGCCGATTAGTGCTGCGCAGACAGAGGGTCAGGGGTCCTGCAGCCTCATAGGACAATCAGGGAAGAATGAAAACTCTTCCTACATGCCCTAACCTGTGCTCTGCTGGACACTAATAGAAGTCACAAAACTGCTCTAACTGCTGATAAGAAAAGGTATTTAGCAGTTTATATTTACTAAAATAATTGCATTTCCATGTTCTGTGTACTGTGGAAGACCAGATATAGTGAATGCAGATTCCTGGGTTTAGTAACACTTTAATATTGCTTAAAGTGAAACAATAAAATGCAAAATTGCATTTAATAACATACCTGGGGGATGACCTGACCCTGCCTTGCGAAGCTGTGCATCTATGGGATGGATATAACCTACCACTGTAACACTGACAATTGCAAAGAAAAAAATTGTTTAAATTACCAATAAAATGAGAGCTCCTGGCTGCTTTATTCTGTTTACAATCAAAATGAATGGGGATTCCCTTTGTTTTTATCAGACTCTTCTCCTAGATGAGGATCTGATATAGATGTTAATGGAGACACCCACACACACACACACACACACACAAAAAAAAAACAGCATGGGGTTCCCATTCCTAATTTGTACCAGGAACTTCAGATCAAGTATGAATTTTAGCGGGCCCCATGCAATTAAAAAAAAAAAAAAAAAAGGCAAAGCTCTTTGTTCCAATGTTGATGAACACAAGGGCCTTTTCCCCACATGTGATTTCGCATTTCCAAGTAGGGGGCGCGCGGCCGGCGCCCAATGATTTCCAAGGATCTCTGACAGGGAGGAGAACTGTATGTAAACAAAACAGTTCTCCTCCCAGTCAGCTCGTGCATGTTGCTTTGGATGGCTGTGCACAGCCATCCAAAGCAGTGTGCTTACAGTGAAGCACATGGACACCGCCGCCCCCTAGTAAAACACAAAACATGTTAACCCCTTCCTGCCCAGTGCCTTTAGCACAGTGTCAGTGCCTTTTTTTAGCATTGATCACTGTATTGGTGTCACTGGGGATGTCAGTAACACCAAGTCAGTTCCCCCTAGTGTCAGAATGCCCACAGCAGTCCCGCTATAAGTCACTGATCGCCACCATTACTAGTAAAAATAAAAAAAAATCCCAGTATATATACCGCCATTTGGAAACGCTACAACTTTCATGTAAACCAATTAATTTACACATATTGGGATTTTTTTTTAGCAAAGACATGTCGCAGAATATATTTTGACCTAAATGTATGACGAAAATTAGATTTTTTTTACTGGACATGTTTAATAGCAAAAAGTAAAACATAATGTTTTTTTTTCTCAAAATTGTCGGTCTTTTTTTTTTTTATATATCGCAAAAAAAAAAAAACGCACAGGTGATCAAATACCAATGACAGAAAGCTCAATTCATGGGAAAAAAAAGGGAATTAATTTAATTTGGGTGCAGCGTTGCATGACCACACAATTGTCAGTTAAAGTAACTCAACACCGTAATGCAAAAAATGGCCTGGTCAGGAAGGGGGGTAAATCCTCTGGAGGGCAAGTGGTTAAAAAAAATGTCCCATAATGTAAATCCACTGTCAATCATGTTGTCAAGTGATGTAGATCCACGTCAATCATGATGCACAATGCCCCACCGAAAGACAAAAAAAACCCTGATAGCCGCCAATTGTTCCTGCACATCTATCTGTCACTGTGCTTCTGCCAGTTGACAGGTATGGCATATGACAGCTGTTATAAACAAATACAGGTTCACCCAGGTGATGTCATCAAATATGAATCGATAAAGACCTAAAGTAAGGTCACCAAAGCTTTAGAAGGTTTTCTGGTTTTTTTTTTGTTTTTTTTTTTTATGGCTAAAGTTCAGTTTTAAAAGTGCCTGGTATAAATCTTTGCTCTGAAAAACATGTCATTGGTTGTTACGCTGCAGGCAGCTAGAAGGTCATAAAAGAGCACAATGAAAACTTGTGGCTTTGTGTACTAAAAGGCAGGATTGATCCACCTGCTGGCTTGTATACAATTTTTGGGCATTTTGCCAAAGCACCCCTGAAGAAGCCTGAAGGCACCCCAGGGTGCCTGGGCACTCTGGTTGAGAAAATCTGATCTAAACTAAACCTGAATTCTACTTGGTCTCCAAAAAAAGCGACCCCCCCCCTAAAAAAAAGGCATTACTTTGCATCTTAGTAACTGAGTTTTATTGGTTCTGATTTGCTACTAGGGACATAGACTTGCTAAAATGATTATATCCTGCACGGTATACAGATATTGGTTAGCCCAGTTATTGTTACATGCAATTGCTGCATGAAAATGTGTGTGTAGACCTAAAGTGCAACTTCGAACAAATAAAAAATGGTCGCTTGCAGTGGGGATGTACCTGTACTCCAGGGGTTCATTGCTTGTTTATGTCCAGGGAAACAAAAAAAGGAGATATACTTACCCGATCTTCTGCTCCTCCCTGCAGCTAAGCTGGCCCAACAGCTTCTGCACCCCTCATGGTCTAGGGTCCTGATGTCAACAGACTAGGGTCCACAGCTCTGCTCTGGACATGAGGATGCTGAGGGACAGTTCAGCGCCGGACCGCAGGGGAACACACACCACTTGCTGGGATTAGGTAATCTGTTTCTCCTCTCCCCCAGACAAAAGGAGCTATGCTGCAGGTACATCCTCCCTGCAAGGTACCATTTTTTTATCTGTCCGGAGTTGGGCTTTAGAGGAAATAAAGATTTCCAGTATGCTAGGAGGTTCAAACAGGATAGATCCATCACTTGGATTATGTATATTGAAAGTGTTTTGTATTTCATTATCTGTGTATAAATATTTTCTGACCATGTTACTAAGCGTAAATTCATTTTTTTTTTTAACTGTTACTTACAAAGTAAAGTTGTGTGATGTATGTACTAACAACTAATATTTGGATTTATATTGGCTCCCTATACCTGTTGATAACTTTTGCACCAGGATCATTACAGTAGACTTTTCACGTCCTCAACCCATTACATTAGAAGCAAATCTCAGACACAGAGCTGAATTTTTCATTTATTTTCTTTCCAAGAAAATGCAACTGAAAGGGCTCATTTAGACTTGAGGTTGGGGATGGGGGGGGTATAAAAAACGCACAATGAAGCCACATTTTTAGCACCCCCAAAATGCCCCCTTTAAGTTGCAAATGAAGCAGTTGAGGGTGTTCGCGTGCCATGGTTGTGATGCTTCACTTCATGTCTATAGCAAAAATGACCAGACATCCAAGCCCGCCGAAAGTGAATCCAGAGAATGAGGAAGCATCGCAAACACAGGTCTAAACCTAGCCAAATGGTAAGACTTCAGGTTTAGACTTGCATCTAAACTGACGCTCCTCTGAAAAGCAATCTGCGTTCAGATTGCTTTTCAGAGACTTTCGGCAGGTGGTGAGTCGATGTGATGCCTCATCATTGCCAGTTTTAACCCCATAATTGCCACACAAACACACCAAAATTGCCTGCATTGCATGTGGTTGACAGGCGTTTGCTGTGCTTTCTTGGTTCTGTTGCTTGAATGGAGCTCGATATGTTGGACAAAGAAAAGCTTCTCAAGAGCAGCATATGAGCACCCCATCCATTGCCATTGTAGATCAGGAGGGGGGGCTAAAAAATGCAGCTCAACTGTCTACTTTTAATGTCCTCCAATTGCAAGTCTAAACATGCTCTAAGTGGAGCAGAAGAGCTGGGAGCTTGAATGGCTAAAAAAAGTCCCTAAAGACACTACAGGCTAGGCCTTTTTCACATGAAAGTTCTGATCGGGTCCACGTGCCCTTTTTCAGGCGGACCTGATCGGAACCTCCAGTCTCCTCTATGGAGCGGCGAGAGTAAATGGACATGTGTCCGTTTACACCCACCAACATCCAATCCAATCCATTCTGCAAAAAGGGACAGATGGAGATCCAATTCTCCTTCCGTCCGTTGAAGCAGGTCGAATGGAAACGGACAGGCGATCCGTTTTCATCCTTCTTCCCATTGAGGAGAGCGAGCTGCTCTGTGCCCGCTCTGCAGCAGCGGAGCAGACACAGACATGTCATCCGCTTGCTCAGCGGGGATCAGCGGAGAGCTCTCCACTGAGCAAGCGGATCCGCTAAATGGGTCCGCCCTGTGCGCAAGGACCCTTAAGCACCTGTCCATGTAGTCATAGTGGAAGTACCTTGTGAAAACTCTGGTAGCTATACTGCATGAGTAATATTCACCTAGCCTGTGTTCATTTCAAATTCTCAATTGAAGGATTTTTGCGTTTAATTCTGCTGAACCTAATTTTGAAGAGAAACCAGCCCAAGGTGATATTACTGTTTTAGTAACACCCCATGGTTTCTAAAGAAAGATATGATAGAATTCAGATTACTACATCTAAAACTGCTGAGATGTACTGAATGAAAGATCTAGCACTCAAGAATTAAAGCAGCAATAGACCCAAAAACAAAAATGTCATATATTGCAGTTTAACAATCCTTGTGTGTTAGCTTCATTAGTTTTCTTTTTTCTAAACTTTATTTTCACTTTTATTTTCATCTGGTGATCCAGCTTGCCTACCGGGTACTTTTCCCCCCTTCCCGCCCAAGCCCATTTTCACTTTTCAGCGCTGTTGCACTTTGAATGACAATTGAGCAGTCATGCAACATTGTGCCCAAACTAAATTTTTATGAGACAAATAGAGCTTTCTCTTGGTGGTATTTGATCACCACTGGGGTTTTTATTTTTTGCTAAACAAATGAAAAAGACCAAAAATTGTGGAAAAAAAAGTTTTCTTAGTTTCTGTTATAAAGTTTTATAAATTAGTGATTTTTCTCCTTCATTGATCTGCACTGATGAGGCTGCACTGATGGGAACTAATAGGTGGCACTGATAGGCTGCACTGATGGGCACTGATGAGGAGACACTGATCAGGCTACACCGATATGCAGCACTGATGGGCGGCACTGACAGACATTACTGATGGGCACTGACATTCAGCACTGAGGAGGCACTGATAGCCAGCACTGATGGGCACTAGTAGCCACACTGATGGGCACTGATAGGGCTACACTAATCATCAGGGCACTGATTAGTGTAGATGTCCCCTCTGAGAATGCCGCTTACCGACTCTCCTCTCCTCACGCACTGTCAGAAGAGGACTACCGATATCCGGCATTTCCTGTTTGCACTGTGATCAGCTGTGATTGGCACATGGAGGGTGTGGTTTTGGGAGGACATTCATGGGTGTCTTCCCAGAACTAGGTGACTGCCTTGTAACTGTCTTTTGGTTATTGCGCGGTCAGGAACTGGTTAAAGCCAAACTCCAGCTAATGCATTACAGCAAAACAGTTTTTTTTTCCTTCTGGGATAAAATGTTTACATAAATAAATAAAGGCTGATTGTTGTAAGTACCCCCTGTCAGTGTTAAATGATTTGTCTCAGCACGCTAACTGCCACTTTGTCTGGGCAGCTTGGTCTGTTAAAGTGGTTCTAAATTCTGAAGGTTTTTTCACCTTAATACATTCTTTGCATTAAAGTAAAAAACTTCAGTGTGCAGCTCCCTCCCCAGTCCCCCTTTATACTCACATGAGCCAGATCCAGCGATCTGGAAAACCAAGGCTCTCCCAGTACTCTCCCTCCTCATTGGCTCAAACATTGCAGCAGGAGCCATTGGCTCTTACTGCTCTCAATCACAGCCAGGAGGGAGTGGGGACAGGGCTGAGGCCAGCTCTGTGTGTCTATGAACATACAGAGCGGGGCCTGAGAGCGAGCATGCACAAGTGATTGCTATGGGGGCACTCTTGGTGGGGGCGGGAGGAGCCCGGAGCAGGGGACCTGAGAAGACCATTGCATAGAGCAGGTAAGTATAACATGTTTGTTATTTATTTTTAAATTTAAACGTTCATCGCTTTAACCACTTGCCTACCAGGCACTTATACCCCCTTCCTTACCAGGCCAATTTTCAGCTTTCAGCGCTGCCGCATTTTGATTGACAATTGCGCGGTCATGCAACATTGTACCCATATGAAATTTTGATCATTTTTTTCCTCACAAATAGAGCTTTCTTTTGGTGGTATTTAATCGCCACTGGGCGCTTTACTTTTTGCGCTATAAATTAAAAAAAGTGCAAAAAATTTGAAAAAAAAAAAAAAGTTTATTTGTTTCTTTTATAAAATTTTTCAAACAGGTATTTTTTCTCCTTCACTGATTTGCGTTGATGAGGCGGCACTGATGGGCACTGATAGGCGGCACTGATGGGCACTGATAGGCAGCACTAAAGGGCACTGATAGGCGGCACTGATAGACAGCACTAATTAGGGGTCACGGATAGGCGGCACTGATATGCAGCACTGATAGGCGGCACTGATAGGTGACACTGATAGACGGCACTGACTGGCATCACTTCTGGGCACTGACTGGCGGCACTGACTGGCACAACCCCTGGGCACTGACTGGTGGCACTGACTGGCAGCACTGCTGGGCTGCACTGGTGGGTGGCACTGGTGGGCAGCACTGGTGGGTGGGCACAGGTGGGTGGCACTGGTGGGCACAGGTGGGTGGGCACAGGTGGGTGGCACTGCTGGGCACAGGTAGGTGGCACTTCTGGGCACAGGTAGGTGGCACTGCAGAGTGGCACAGGTGGGTGCACTGCTGGGCACAGGTGGGGGCACTGCTGGGCACAGGTGGGGGCACTGCTGGGAACGGGTGGGCGGGGCTAGTGGGCGCACTGCTGGGCGGAACTTGCGGGTGTCACTGCTGGGCACCGATCATCAGGGCACTGATCATCAGTGCCCTGATGATCGGTGCCGATCCCCGCTCTGACAACTGCCGGTTCTCGGCAGTACTTTCCTCACGATCTGACAGCGTGAGGAAAGTGCAGCCGAGAACCGGCACTTGCATTTCCCTGTGATCAGCGTGTCATTGGACACCGCTGATCACGTGGTAAAAGGCCGGTGGGATCGGCCTTTCACCACATCACGTGATCAGCTGTGTCCGTAGGACACAGCGATCACGGAGATCGCCGGGTGCGCGCCCCCTGGGGCGCGCAGGAGAGCGCGTTCTGGGAGGACGTCACGTCCACTCAGAACTGGCCGGCCGCGGTGAAGCCGTCATTCAGCTATGCGCGGTCGGCAAGAGGTTAACCACCTTCCGCCCGCCCTATAGTACAATGACGGGCGCAAGGTGGTTCTCTCGTTCTGATAGAACGTCATATGACATCCTACCATTCTCACTGCGATCGCCGGTGCGCTGTGTCCCTCGGATCACGGAAAGAGCCAAAGATGTCGGCTCGGTCATGTAATCAGCTGTGTCCAATCATAGCTGATCACATGTAAACATGGAAATGCCGGTTATCGGCATTTCTCTCCTCTCGAGCTGTCACGCTGACAGCTCGAGAGGAGAGCCGGTAATCGGCTTTCCACGGAGGGGACATGTACACTGATCATCAGGGCACTGATGATCAGTGTGCCCTGATGATCAGTGTGGCCCCAGAAGTGCCACCTGTCAGTGTTCATCAGTGCCACCTGTGAGAGCCCATCAGTGCCACGTGCCAGTGCCCATCAGTGCCCATCTGAGCTGCCTTTCAATGTCACCCATCAGTGCCAGTCAGTGCCACCTATCAATGTCAATCAGTGCTGCTAATCAGTGCCACCTATCAGTGCCAGTGAGTGCCGCCTAACAGTGCCAGTCAATGCCACCTATCAGTGCCAGTCAGTGCTGCCTAACAGTGCCGCCTATCAGTGCCATATATCAGTGTCATGTATCAGTGCCCATCAGTGATGCCTGTCAATGCCCATCAGTGCAACCTACCAGTGCCTCCTTACAAGTGCCCATCAGTGCCACCTATCAGTGTCCATCAGTGCAGCCTATGAGTGGCTCATTAGCGCACATCAGTGAAGGAGAAAAATCACTTATTTACAAAATTGTATAACAAAAACTAAGAAAAAAAACAATTTTTTTTCAAAATTTTCAGTGGTTTTTGGTTTGTTTAAGAAAAAATAAAAATCCCAGAGGTGATTAAATACCACCAAAAGAAAGCTCTATCTGTCCCAAAAAAAAATGATAAAAATTTCATATGGGTACAGTGTTGCATGACCATGCAATTGTCATTCAAAATGTGACAGCGCTGAAAGCTGGATATTGGCCTGGGCGGGAAGGGGGTATAAGTGCCCTGTAGGCTAGTGGTTAAAGTACTTTTTGTTGAAAAACAATACACTTACTGGCTGGATCACCATGTGAAAAAGCCTAAAAAAAAGAACAAAAGCAGCAGCCACCACATCTAAGAATTGATAAGCTGCAATTTAATACAATTTTGTTTTTGGGTACAATACCATTTTAGGGTAAAATTTTTAACTTTGATGTATATGTTTTTCTCAGGAACTTCACAAAGCAGTATAATTATGCACAAAATCTGCTGTAATCGGTTTTGGAGACCAAGTAGAATTCAGGTTTAGTATAGATCAGATTTTCTCAAGCAGAGTGCCCAGGCACCCTGGGGTGTCTTCAGGCTTCTTCAGGGGTGCATTGACAAAATGCCCAAAAATTGTATACAAGCCAGCAGGTGGATCAATCCTGCCTTTTAGTACACAAAGCCACAAGTTTTCATTGTGCACTTTTATGACCTTCTAGCTGCCTGCATCCTAACAACCAATGACATGATTAGTTAATAAGGAGGACATCGGGTGCATGCACTTCATACTTGTTTTCCCCTCTCCGTCAGCACTGGGGTCACATTAGCAGAGTGAGGGAGAGAAAATTAGAGAGACACATTGGAATACTAGTCAGTACCAGTGCGTAAAGTTGTATTTGCTTTGGAAGAATAAATCACCTCTAACGCTAGGTGTACTGGATGTGTGTAGAAAAGTTTTTTACATTTTAGATTGGGGTGCCTTGAGATTGTGCAGAATTTTAAAGGGTGTCTTGAGATTATCCATAGTTTTAAAGGGTGTCTTGAGATTATCCATAGTTTTAAAGGGTGCCTTGAGATTATCCATAGTTTTAAAGGGTGCCTTGACTGAAAAAAGGTTGAGAAACACTGGTTTAGACTTTATAGGAAACCCTATAACCATCTCACACATACCATCCAATACCCCTTAAATGTTTTATTGATAAAAGTGCCAGCAGCTGCAATGATGTTTTTTATTCTATGATTCATCCTAAATGTGACCTTTATCTTTGCTTGCTGCCTGCATAATGGGAAGGACAAGTATGGTACTTAGAATCAGACACATCAAGGCCTCCTCCTGTTTCATAGCTTGTTCTCTAGAACTTGGTCACCTACAGATCCTTGGGTCAGTATCAAGGCTGCAGTTAGCAATTAAAAATTGGCCCTGGGATGTAAATCAAATTACCTAGAAAAATGTATTATTATCTTGTGGAATAGTATATTGACTTAATGGATGATAAAAATACTTAAGAATGAAGCCTGATGCTAAATTATTTTTTTTTGTAATTCTTTATTCAGACATTGTGCATTTACAAGGAAGTACCATCACACAGTAAAATAATATGGGAAAACATAAACTGCACAGAAAACATTTACGGGCACATTATGGCACAACATATCACAATTTCAGTAACCAGGAACGTTAGGCTAGATACAAATTGTCTGTTGCATAAACTATTATAATGCCACTCATACTGGAAATGTAGGGTAATGAACCAGAAATACATAAAGTCTAACTCAAACTTTTGTTTATTTTAAAACACAGAAATCGATCCCTCGCATCATGGGACCATAAAATAATGAAAACATTACGTAGAAAAATATTATTTTCTTAACTCTCAGGGAATGGGAGAAAAAAAAGGGGGGTGAGATGGTGTGTGTGGGGGGGGGGGGGTGCGGAATGAATGGGAGATGCCAAAAGGGGAGGAAGAGACGAGAGAGAGAGGACGGGGTGAGAGCTCACTGGCAGTACTAAATGCAGATCTGGGGGATGGAGGAGCAGAGAGGAACAGGAGCCCCACATTCCTTCTACTCCTCCCCCATAAGACCTGCCCATTCATAGAGTTCAAGGTTTAACCTATGGAAGATTATGTCAAGAAGGACTCAACCATGATCGGGGGAAGTGGGCACCATGCCCAGATATTGCGCCAAGCAAATGTACATCTTCCAAGGCCGCCACATTTCCCAAAAAACATCTTCCTTGTAGTTAAGGGAGGCAGTTAGACTTTCCATAGAATTAATTTTATTCAACTTTGCAAACCAGTGACCCATAGTTGGGGGATAGATTTGCTTCCACAGACCTGGAATTCATGCCCGTGCCGCATTCAGAAGATGAACTGTCAGAGAGCGTTTTTAGCGACGTTACGGTACCGAGTTGAGCTGAAGGAGGTAGGCCAATGGGTCTGTTCCCAGATCCACTGAGGTCAACTGTGAAACTAAGTTCCTCACTTTTATCCAGAACTGATTCAGCAAAGGATATTGCCAGAAGATATGCACTAAAGTGCCCTCTTCCTTCTGACAGCGCCTACACAATCTGGAGACTGAGGGGTAAAATTTGTTCAGTAGCACCGGGATCTTATACCACCTGGACAGACGTTTGTAACCCTACTCTTGGAAACAATTAGCTATTGAGGAGTTATAAGCTAATTGAATGATCCAGTTCACCCATTTGTGCACGTAAGATGAGACAAATGTCTCCTCCGGCTTGTTCAACATTTTATATAATACTGATAGAAGGTGAGGTGTATACTCCTTTGTGGCACACAGATGTTCAAAGGGGGTAAGTGATCTGGTATATTTGTCCAAGCCTGGAATCAAATGTACCAAGTGACACAACTGTTAGGCCAATCAGGCACTTAAAGGGGGTTGTACCAGAGTGCTAGCGTCTGAAGGGACATCCAGTTCCGCTGAGTCGTAAAATGCCTACACTGTGTAAAGCTTGTCTCCCCCAGGGGACGTACCTGCCTACTGTTATTTCCCAGGGGAAGGGCGGGATTGGAGAGTACTGGGGTAAGGGAGGAGGGATATGGGGACAGTCCCTTTTGTTGAAAAATCTGGTGGATAACCTTAATTGTGTGATGCTAAATTATTGCCGGGTTGGCTGGTGTATAAAGGAAATGTACGCTTTTGTTAATAAATTGCATAATTTATAATCAAATATATTAGCAAAATCAAAATGGTCTTGCACACAGTGTCTTGTACAATACATACCTCTCTAGGGTATGTCCAAGTGTTAGTTTTCTCTTTTACCTTGTTCATATAGTAAGATACAGCTTTTATTTTTGTGCCATTTTCAATAGACTTGTAACATTTTGTCAGGGGCAGCTGCGGGGAGGTTTGTTCATACTCATAAGAACATTCCCCCAGACCCCCACAACTACATCACCCAAGAGCCACTCCCTACATATAGTGTGTGCTGTAGAAAGGCTCCTGGGAGTCAAGACAACAGCACTATTTTTTTGTTTTGTTTTGTTTTTTTTTTAAAATAGAAATCAATGTATGCATGTGGAATGGGTCAAAGAGGGGTTGAGTGGATAGAAGAAGGTCTGTAGTCCAGCTGGCAGGGCTTGAAATGTTGTTTGGTATTTCAGTCCAGCAAAGGCTCCATGTTGTCAGCAAATAAAGAGCTTACTGGATTTTTGGCAAATCCAGCTATTTTTCTGTGCTTCCAGTCTTTTTTTAAAGGAATAAAACATGGGAGAATATGCATTTAATGCAGAGAAGTATTGAACATGTTTTTTTTTTTGTCCTGGCATATATTTTGAGAACTATTTCTGTGATTAGTGATACTGGTACTAACAAATAGCCATGGCATCAGCTGAATTCCTTGTCTAGTTCTCAGTCATTCTCAGTAAAGCAACATCAACCTATGTCAAGATCACTGGAAGCGCAAAAAGAAACCCTATTTGGAGAGGCATCAGAAGCCCTCCCAAACAGGGGCATATTTACCACAAGGCATTTGCCTAGGGCAGCATTTTTTTTTCAGGGGGCAGTGGCATTTTTCTGGGGGGCAGTGCCCAAAGAAGGGATGGAAGAAGAGACACGAAGCATGGGGACCAGGTGGGATCTGAGAGAGGCTGCGGGTTGCTTGATGGTGTATGCAGAGCCTGACTCTTGTTCCCGGGGATGTCCGGAGGTGAGTGTCTTCTCTCTCTTTCTGGGGTGGGGTTGCTAGTGTATGGGGGGCGGTGGTGGTAGTGGAAGGCTCTCACAGGTGGGGGCTGGGGTGTTGTTGGTCAATGTCAGGCTCTCTTCGTGGGGGAGGGGGGTGTTGGTCGGTGTCAGGGTCTCTCCGTGGGGGGACCGATTTTTGTGTTGCCTAAGGCAGCACAAGACCTAAATGCACCACTGCTCCCAAAACCGTGATTTGTGCAGAGATCCTAGTATGTGCACTAAAGGTGCCAGGAAGGTGGTACTAAGGGTTCAATGTAGCTTCATATTCTGGCCACATCTAGACCCATGTCAATTCTTCCACTTAGCATACAGTATTAAGGGAAGCATTCCACATGTGAACTTGACTGAATCTTTAGATGCTTACAGTAAACAAAGACTCTGCTCTAAGCTGCTCCTCTCCACTGCTACTTGAAGCCCGGGTGCCCGGGGCACTACAAGGTTTCTCTACTCACAGATTAGATGCTGAAAAAAGAAAGCCACCACACATCAGAGGAATCACTAGTATCCATGTTAATTGCATGGAATAGCTACAAGCTTGACATTGACGGTCCCTGCTTTAAGTCTTCTGCAATAGGGCTTAGTTGTAGACTACTATGACTACGCCCTATTGGGTGAAATGTGCTAGCTGGGTGATCCTAAAGCAGGGACTGACAATGTCAAGCTTGTGGGTATCCCATACAATTAACATGGATACTAGTGATCCCTCCACTGTGTGGTGGTTTCCTTTTTTTTTTTTTTTTTTTTTTACAAAATTTTGCTAAGAAAAGAGGAGAAATAATTCTTGCAAATTA